CCCCCCCCCCCCCCCTATACTATATGTCATTCTTCAAATTACCCTCATGGATCATAAAAGCCATAGACAAAATTAGAAGAAACTTCCTATGGAGTGGTCATCTGCAGCCCTCAAAATCTAAATGTCTTGTCAAATAGGGAAATGTATGTAAAGCCAAACAAGAAGGTGGTTTAGGTATCATTAACTTGCAATCCTTCAACCAATTCTCCTAGCCAAATGGATTTTTATATTTTTGCATAAATCCAAAATTTTACCCGAATTTATCTTTACACACCCAGTTTCAAAGTTGTTCTTTTGCATGTAAACACGAAGTTCTATTATTTCATTTTTGAACTCATCCACTTTCAGATTTTTTAGGGTGTTTTTATTTGAACCCAAAGTATCTCACTTCAATTTGTTTTTAAGCCTAGCCACTTTCAAAGAGTTTTTAGCCTATAAACAAAGTTTTATCCCTACTTGCTTTAAAACACATCCACTTCTAGAAAGGGTAATGTCGCAATGAACCCAAAGTTTTACCTCCTTTTATTTTTAAACACACCACTTTCAAACTCACTCTCACACTTAAAAATACTACATAAAATTAACTTAACATATTTTTTATTTTAGCATTTGATATATGTTATAAGTTACTATATGGTGATAATTTGATATAGTTTTTGTTCAAATTGATTAGGCATGTGGTGTAATTTAAACAAAATGCTTTAATTTTTTACTTTGCTGACTTTTTCATTCTAATATCATGCCATTGCAAGCTGTAGGTGGATTTTTTTTTCCTTATAAACTCAAAGTTTTATCACTATTTATGTTTAAACTCACATACTTTCAAAAGAGTTATTTGTCTATAAACAAACTTTCACCCTCATTTAGTTTTAAACACAGCCACTTCCAGAATCATATATATAAACTCACACACTATCAAAAGAGTTAATTGTCTATAAACAAAATCTTTACCCTCATTTAGTTTTAAACTCGGTCACTTCCAAAATCACTTTCAGGATTAAAAATATTTAATCAAATTATTTTTAAGCTCACTTTGATTTTAATATATGCAAATATGCAGTGTATGCTCATATATTTTCTAAAGTGGTTAGTTACACAATGTATTTTTAAATCAATGTTCGAATGAATGTCGCGACGGGAGGCAATTTTCCTCCTTTTGGTACTACAATGGACTAGCTTGAGACATAACGTTTCAAAGTATTAAAACATTATAGCACAACAACAATAGCAATGGTCATCAAAAACCATCAAATAGTATCAACAACCAACTCTTCCGGTCTCAGTTTGATCAATTCAGAGTTAAAGACTAAAACAAAAGAGTGCGGAGCAAGAAAAAAATTAGAGACTAATGTGGAACCTCACCAATGTTGATCATCCCTAAAACCTCTCCTAATTGAAACTCCCAACCCCTATAAACAAGGACTACCCTTTTCCTCTCTCCATTTAACTGCCAACATAATCTCTTTCTTCTTGCTTAATTCCCCTGTACTCAAAATAATAAAATAAAAATAAAAATAAAATAAAAATGATAATTTCTCGGATTGCACGTTCGACTCCTTTAAGCCAATCCAATGTCATTGAGAAAATTCTTATTGCAGGCTCTCCTGAGTTCTCTTCAGTGAGATTTAGTAGTACTGAAAATAAAGCAACCAAGGAAAAGGAGGAGGCTGAAAAGAGAGTAGGAGCAGTTCGTGCACGTGCAAGTTATTGGGGGATTACTCAGACGAAGCCTCTCAACAAGGATGACGAATCAGAGTGGAAGTGGCATTGTTTTAAGGCAATCTATTAGTAATTTTATAGTTCATTTTTATCGTTAATTTATAATGGTTTCTCTAATTTATTTAATTTAATTTTTTTTACATGAATAGCCTTCGGATACATATAAGCCTGATTTGTCGATAGATCTGAAGAAGCATCATACTCCGTGCACATTGATGGATAAATTGGCATTGTGGACGGTGAAATTGCTTCGATTGCCTACTGATATCTTCTTTAAGGTATTTTATGCAGAAATAATTTCTTGGAATTATATTGCAATTATTCATGTAATGTTGTAGATTGTTGTTGGAATGATGACTATTTTTATAACCCTGAAATTTCTCGCCATCGTCGTACTTCGTGTGCTTAGTTGTGTGTATATTCTTGAATGGGTTTACAAATCAATAATGTAAAACTTCATTTGCAACATGTGGTTTTCTTTTAAGTCATTACAAAACTTATAATTTGATGATTAAACTTTTCCTTCTAACAATAATATGTTGGATGAAGTTATACTTTGAATAAGTTAGATGAATAATTTCCATCCTTTAACAAAAAATATGGACTATATCATCTTAGAAATGATCATTCTCACTCTGCTCGAGTGCCTCACTCTCTTATGATCTTATCTTCTTTTGTCCATTGTCCTCATTTTTATCGAACTGCCCCTATTATATTTTCCGATTTTACCTCCACCAAAATTTTCTTGTGGACTGATATTTGGTATCATAAAAATCTCATACAACTTCCTTCTTTATCAAAAATTTATTCTCTCTCATCTATCTAACTGTAATTATAATCTATCAATCCTGGCTAAAGAAAAATTAATCACTCTAAAGCATTTTTAGCATCCGCAAATTAACTTATATCTTGCACAAGAAAAAGCAGCCTACAGTCCAAGAGATGTATCTAAAGTTTTCTCGACAACTTATCAACGTCACATGAAATTCACATGACAAATAACAGAGAGATAACTCTACCTGAACTAGAAAAATAATACTACCTAAACTAGAATGACAATACTAATAAAGTAGGGGTAAAAACATGATCACTCCTAAACATTTTTATCCTGTAATAGAAAAGGCAAAGACTATGTGCTTATCAGGGAATATTAATTCTAAAATCATGGTGATGGTCGAGCTTATATATTTTACTTAGCAGCCATCCATGTTGGGAGCATGACCTATTTTATGGGCTAAATTCGCTTTCATAATTCGTGGTTAGTAGCATTTGAACTTGAGCTGCTCCGATACCATGTCAAATATTAATATTACTACAAACATTTTCACCCTGTCACAGAAAAGGTATGGCTGCCGTGCTGTAATGCTCGAAACAGTAGCTGCAGTCCCCGGCATGGTAGGCGGAATGCTCCTACACCTCCGCTCCCTCCGCCGCTTCGAGCACAGCGGGGGATGGATCCGCGCTCTGATGGAAGAAGCCGAAAACGAACGCATGCACCTAATGACCTTCATGGAAGTTTCCCAGCCACAGTGGTACGAGCGACTCCTCGTCATCACGGTCCAAGGCATTTTCTACAACGCGTACTTCCTTGGCTACATGATCTCTCCAAAGTTTGCCCATCGAGTCGTCGGGTATTTAGAAGAGGAGGCGATCTATTCATATACTGCGTTTTTTGAAGGAGATTGACGCTGGGGCTATTGAGAATGGACCCGCGCCGGCGATTGCCATCGATTATTGGAGGTTGCCCAAGGATGCGAGGCTCAGGGATGTTGTGATTGTGATTCGGGGATGCTGACTGCTGCAGTTTCCGTTATTAGTTGAGTTTGGATGCTTAACATTTTGTTTTTTGTGTCTGCAGGATATTCACTGTCAAGGGCAGCAGCTGATGCAGTGGTCAGCACCAATTGGGTACCACTGAGGCTTTCCTCTTAGATTTCGCACGAGGAAACTGAGTTTCTTTGTGGAATTTAATAATTTTATGTGATCATATGCTGAGAATAATAATGTGTCTATGCGAGCGTTAAGCTTGTAGAAAAGAAAATTTATGTCTCTAGATTTCTGGAATCAATTGCTCTTTCGAAAGATGTATTTTTTCCCCCTTTCCAATGCTCACATCTGCAAGAAAATTTCCTGATATCATTATGAGGAGACCTTTGAGAGTTCAAAGCGGCATTCAAAGGATTTCTCAACTAAAAAACTCGGGTTGCACAGAATTGCAATGTTTCATCAGTTTTTAAGTTAATTAGCAGTATGCGAGGAATAAGCAATTTTGCTGTCCAGAGTTGTTACTAGAATTATGTTCTCGTTGATTTCTATTTTGCTGTATAATTTTGCTGGAAACATTTCTGGTTAAGATGCGCCTATAATTCATTGGAAAGATTAAGATGTGCCCCTATCATTTTGCTTATCAATCATCAGGCATAAATTCTGTCACATACAACATTAATTAATTGAAAAGATTAGTATTGCAGGAATTTACATTCCATCACCAGAAATTTTAAGAGTCATACGTATCATTCAGATACATGATTTCTCAACCAGAAAAGCACATCAACAATCATTCAGATACATGATTTCTCAACCATAAAAGCACATCAACACGAAGGACAAAGGAATTTTTACGTGGCTCGGTAGATTTACATTCCATTATATATGAAGAAAATAATTACATCATTGGTTTTTTACACAAATATTTTCAGTCCCATAAACTATTACAAAATCCTAGCCTATTCTATGTACAAAAATATAGAAAACTGCTTTTTAAATTCAAACAAAAACAAAAAAATGAAAATTTTATTTGATAGCTTCTCTCGTTTTATTAATAAACAAACAAAATATTTTAAGCGTACACCAAAATTAGGAAGAAAAAGAAAATGGATTATTGTTCAAATTAATGGTAGTTTTAAAACTAACCATGTTAAAGCTGAAAATATATATAACATTTATTAACCTAGAAGACTATATAGCCAAATAAGAAAAGTACATATCCAAAATTTCTCTTGAAATTAGTTAAGTATTAAAGGTATATTGTAGAGATATATTGCAAAATAATGAGAACACTGACAAGATTTCAGAAGTACTTTAAACTAAAAACTAATTCAAGTTTAAAAACTGAAAATATTATATGTATTCTAGATACCGAAGTAAATAAGAAAATAATTAAAATATCTCTTAGTTACCTTTAATATTAAAGGTATATTAGTAGAGATATATTGCAAAACAATGAGAACACTAAAAAGATTACAAAAGTACTTAAACTAAAAATTAATCAAGGTTAAAACAGAGAATATTATATGTTATAACTCTAGATACTGAAGTAAATAAGAAAATAATCAAAATATCTCTTAGGAAACTTAATATTAATGACATATGTACTATATGCCTAGCAAAAACAAAAAAGAAAATCTCACAAAATAGCCAGTAGGTGAATGCAGCAGCCTCCTACCATTGACCTGCAAAACACACAAATAAAATGTGCAGCAAAACTAAACTTCATTGAACCTGAAACTCCAAATTGATGAACCTAAAATTTACCTTTCATATAGCAATTAAATCACATATAAACTCCTCCAATTTCGATCCATCCCCATGCACCTTTCAGGAAAACTCTTTTTACCTAATATGATTATAACTACTGAAGGGAACTGAGTTCCCCTTAGGCACAGGCTTCGCAACTTCAGGAGTTCCAAAAACATTCCAAAATCTCAATGTCTCATCTCCAGCTGCCGACGCGACAGTGCATCCATCAGGACTCTGAGCCATAAACAAAACCCTGGAAGTATGCCCAGTCAACTCTGCCATCTTAACCATCGAAGGATACTTCCAAAGCACAAAACCCTGGAAGTATGCCCAGTCAACTCTGCCATCTTAACCATCGAAGGATACTTCCAAAGCGTCAACTGAGTAAACCCATGAGAGCTCAACAATTCCCTCTCATTTTTATTCCAAAGCAGCGAGCAAACCTGTGACCTAGTATCAATCGAATTCAAACAAGCCCCAGTGTGTGTGTTCCAAAATTTTATGCATCGATCACTTCCACCTCCACCTGAAGCTAGTAAGTTGCTTTGAAATGGGCACCAAGCTAGGGCTTTGACCGCTGCCATGTGATCTTCGAAGCGATGAACATATTGGTTTTGGTTTGGAGATGGAGTTGAGGATGACATTGAGAGGTCCCAGATGTGGAGGAGGTTGTCATTGCCTCCGCTGGCGAGTTGCTGGCCTGAGCCTGACCATTTAAGGCCGCAGACTTCCTGGGTGTGTCCTTGGTAAGTTTGGATGGCGTGTGATCGGATTCTGACATCGTTGTTTATGATTTTTCCATCCATTCCTCCGGTTGTTAGGATGTTTTTGTTCCAGGCGAGAGAGCCGACCCGAGATCTGTGGACTCCTTTCAATGTTCTTAGCTGTAGAAATTGCAGTAAAAAAAAATACTCCGATGTCAGTGGTCTATTCCAGAAACAATAAATCAAAATAAGTTTAATTGAATAAGTTGGAGGGAATCCAAATCCACATATAATTGCAAGTTTGGTTTTTCAGTAACATTTTTCTTCCAATCATTACTATCAAATAAAATATTGATGAATGTGATTCATTTATGAAATTGCAGGATAATCAGGATTAGCTATGGCCTAAGTGGATTCCACAGAACCCAAATCCATATGATTGCAAATTTGAGTCACCTCCTAATACCACATTGACAAAATCATAATTATCTAAAATGTAGATGACTGATTCTATGTCCACTTCGAGTAAAAGAAGTTATAATTAGATATAAGTAATAAACAGTTATGATCGAAAAACTGATCTCTTATTTACCAAATTGCAGTACAAAGTATCCAAATCCTAGATGATGCAAGCGATTACTCGTTAATTGGAAAATTAAATAGGCTCACAAAATGAACTTTTCAAATAACCCGTTTTTGCAAACTTGAAGTGCAGAGCAATAACAACTTAAATCTACCAATTCTCAAAGAATTTACCGAGACTAATCGAAAGCAAAATACAAAGAGAAAAGAGTACTAACCAGTCGATTGTTGGTCGAATCCCACAACTGAATATGAGAAATATTAAGCCCCACAGCAATATGCTGGCCATCAGGAGCCCAGCTAACACTAGTCACAGGACCAACATCCTCATCAATTGTCACAAGCTCAGATGCCGATCCATTCGAAGCATTCCACAAATACACAGTATTTCCAAGTGCAATCGAGAGCACATTGCTACTTCCCCAATCAAGAAGATTAAGGTAATAATCATCAACAAGATCAGGAGCATCCAATGTCCTCTCTGCAGTCTGAGAAATGTATCTTCTTTGTTTCGGTTTGGTTAGGTGAGAGGAGGAGGTTAACGGGTCAGATGTTGTACCCGATAAGAAGCCATCAATAGGGGTTGGGGGTTTGCTCTTGAAGGCTAGGATTCGGGTTCGGTTGTTGAGGAGGATCTCGGCTAGGAGCTTTCTGTAGGCTTCTTTGGATGGGGATGCAGTTGCTGATGAGTTGTTTTCCTTTTCTTTTCTTGATTCTGTTAGGGCGTAGTGGGCGTAGTCGAAGTCCATAGCAGATCGATCTGGTATGAATCTGTCAGCCTGTAATTTTTAGGACAAATTTTCAAAACCGACCCTTTGGGGTTTTTAATTGCAAAAAACGACCCATTTCACACTTATTTATAAAAACCGACCCCAGGGGCTGAAAACAGGTCGGTTTTTGAAAAAAAATTTCCCAAACTTCACGGGAGTTGAACTCCCGTGAAGTTTTGTTATGAGAAAAACTTCACGGGAGTTCAACTCCCGTGAAGTTTGGGAAAAAAAATTTCAAAAACCGACCTGTTTTCAGCCCCTGGGGTCGGTTTTTGTAAATATTTTCAAAACCGGTCGTTTTTTGCAAATAAAAACCCCAAGGGGTCGGTTTTGAAAATTTGTCCGTAATTTTTATCAAGAAATGAACAGATTAGATTCCTGAAGTACGTAATATTTTAAGCGTTCAAGAATTTAATTACCTAAGGGGGAATTTCAAGAATACCTGGAACTAATGAATATCCCAACAAAACCCTATAGATAAAAATCCTAAAATTTCAGGGGGAAAACCCCCCAAAAAACATTAGAAAGAACAAAACTCATACACCCAATTATAGAAAAGTAAGTTCTTGGAGAATAAGAATGAAAGAATAGATCTCAAGATCCCTACTTTCTTTAAATTTCTCTCGCTACTAAAGATGGCAGATAAACCTGAACAAAGTCCTACTGTTAATCCTAAAAAAACCATGAGTTCCCCCAAAAACACGAAAACGAACAAAACCCATAATCCCAAATACAGAGAAAATGAGAAATCACTGAAAGAAAGATGAAACCTACACTGCTCTGTCTCGACAGCGGATTCGGAAGAGAGGAGGATCGAAGAGGAGGGATGAAAACAGTGGATCCCACTTCTCGAAGCGGGGCCCGATATCTCATTCTCGACCTCATCTTCTCAGAGGAGACGGATGTGTAAGTTCCTGCGTCCATGGTTTTAGGGAGGGGGAAATAGAAGAAGAAACAAGAAACTAGGTTCTAACAAATAAATAAAAATAATTGGTTAATAAATAATCAAAGACCCTGCAAAGGAATTGATTAGATGAGCAGTAATCAGTAATCTCAAAGAGAGACGAAGATCTTGAGAGCTTTGCTGAGAAAAATAGCCTCTTTCTCTTTCTTGCTGCAGCGCGAACAGAGAGAGAGACAGAGAGGGCAGAATTGATTTGATTGGGTGATGAGGAGAGTTTACGCTTTATATAGGGATTTGATTATGTTAGTCCCTTTAAGTGATGATCTTTAATTGCCATATATAGTCTCACTTGTTATGTAATGTTATTTATGAGAGTGAGCTACCGCTAACTTTAATGGAATTGATGGTTTTCTCATGATACCCCTACCTAAAATTAACCCTATCATTTAAAATCTTACCAACCCATTTCATAATTGATTTATACCTATAACCAGCTCCAACTAAAACCCAAACTCATCAACTTCTTTCTTTTTCCTCTTTCTTTTTTTTTTCTTTTTGCAATGGACCCAATCCAAAAGCTTTTTCAAACAATTTTATTCCCAATTAGAGTTAGAGAAAACCCCATGCGGAAAATCAAGGGCAATTGGGAAAATTTAGATGTTGGTTTAAGACTTAACTTAAGTAGCGCTAGAGAAATTAACAGAATCCTAGCAGAGGGATGCTGAGATTTGAGGGATTAAGTGGCAATTAAAAACTATGTAAAGGACTAATATGCAATAATTACCCCTACTTTTTGACGTAGATCTTGATGGGCTGAAAACAAATTTGAAGCCCATCCCCTCTAACATTTTAGTACCCGCGCTGTCGCTGATCTCCCAAAATCTAGGAACGGAACCCAAAAAAAATGGACCATAACATTTTTCTTGGAATTTTGCTTTTTTGCTTCATCTGGTTATGTTGTGTTCGGGGTTCTTGAATGTTGTTTGTTTAGCTTTTATTTTTGGGTGATGGTTGAGTTACTGATATGTGTTTATGTTGCTTTAGGTGGTAAAAGAAAAACCAAAATGGTTGTAAGAATGCTTTCCAAATGGTTCGATATGGTAAGAGTGCTTCTCTGTTGGGTGTTTCCTTGCATGTACTCAGAGTATCAAATTGGAAAATCTACCCTGTTCACATCATTGTTAAACGAATCAATATGGTCCTTCAGTGCAGCATCACGAAGATAATGAGTTGCTAATGCAGGAAATAGGTTGGTCACTTGGTTTAAACTCGGTGAAGTTTGTTGACGTACAATTATCTGCATTGCACATTACAGTTTCACAGTTTGCATATTATGTCCCATTTTAATTTTTAAGCTTTTGAATGAACAAATCGAAGAGGAAATCAAATGTAGGAATACTTGGAACTTGTTATGGATTTCTTAGGCAATTTTCTTGTGTCATATATATGCTGCCACAACTTTGAAGTTTGTCAATCAGCATATTTACAATGATATCCATTTGTTTACAGCTTCGTGAACTGCAATATGAATGAACTTCTGAAGCTACTTCAACTTGTACGAAGTTTTGGCATGAGATGAGTTTATAACACGACTGCATGCTTATCTTACCTTTTCCCCTCATTAATGTTTGCACTATACATTAGCAAGTGTCATGACCTTAAAGGGGATGAGTTGGGAAATATAGAGTTTAAGAACTGAAGAACAAAAGGAGTTAAGGGGCACATGTGTATTAGTTTATGCTAATTTAGTGAGGCGAAAAAGTTATACTCATCAATTGTGAAACATAGATAGTCTTCATTGTATGAGAGCGACTATGATTGTGTCATCACCTTGTACACAAGCATGGGACTGGGCAGAAGAGGGCTAGGAGCATGGGGGGACTAATTGTCCCTTGTACACAAGCATGGGACTGAGGGACAGTCCTGTGTACCCCACGTTCACAATTTGGTATCAGAGCGATTTGACTCCTTCATGCTGAAGCATGAGTTTTCTCGAAACGACTATGATTGTTGTGTTTACATTCGGAAGCTTCGTGGAGGTGATTATATCTATCTCCTTTTGTATGTGGATGACACGCTTATTGCATCGAAGAACAAGGTAGAGATAGATAAGCTAAAATCTCAACTTAGCAAAGAGTTCGAGATGAAGAACATGGGCGCTGCAAAGAAAATACTGGGTATGGAGATTAGAAGAAAGCGGGCGAATCGGCGATTGTTCTTGAGTCAGAAGGGCTACATAGAGAGAGTGATCACGAGGTTCGGGATGCAAAGTACAAAGTCGGTGGTGACCACATTGGCTCCACACTTTAGGCTTTCAGGTAAACAATCCCCCACTACAGCGGAAGATAAGACACACATGGAGGGTGTTCCCTATGCTAGTGCAGTTGGCAGTTTGATTGACGCAATAGTGTGTACACGTCCAGATATTTCACAGGCAGTTAGTGTGGTCAGCATGTTCATAACGAATCCGGGAAAGGCACACTGGGAAGCGGTGAAATGGGTCCTGAGGTACTTGAAAGGTACCGCGGATACGGGTCTGTGTTTTGGTGGAGATACATGTCAGATCGACGGGTATGTTGACTCAAATTATACGAGCGATCTAGATAGACGGCGATCTACTACGTGGGAAAAATACTAAGTGGGAAAAATCTCTTGAGTGGACTTTTGAGAGAAAAGAAAGGAGTGAGAGAGAGAGAGAGCGCTTGTAATAAGTTTGGTATTCTCCTCATAGTGAAAACCCCCTCCCGTGGACGTAGGCTAGTTAGCCGAACCACGTAAATCTCGTGTTTGTATTGTCATATCTATTTGTTTTACTTGCAGGTGCCCTCGATAGTTCAGTCATTGCACTGATGAGAGGAAGAGTGGATATCTCACTTTGCTGAAAAATCAATTGTGGGTTTTGTATTGGAGTTCTTTTGAGAGAAAAGAGAGAGTTGAGATAAAACTTGTAATAAGTTTGGTATTCTCCTCATAGTGAAAACCCCCTCCCGTGGACGTAGGCTAGTTAGCCGAACCACGTAAATCTCGTGTTTGTATTGTCATATCTATTTGTTTTACTTGCAGGTGCCCTCGATAGTTCAGTCATTGCACTGATGAGAGGAAGAGTGGATATCTCACTTTGCTGAGATATTTCGCTACTGATTCATAGACATTGCACCCATTCATAGACAGTTTCTCTCCCTCGATAGTTCAGTCATTGCACCCATTCATAGACAGTTTCTCTCCCTCCCCATCCGCAATTGCAATCTTGTATGCGTGCTATGTGCACAGAAATCAAAGCGAAGAAATGAAAATAAGACGAATTTGACTATTTTCCCCTCATGGAAATATTTATAGCTCTTGAATGATTTTTAAGAGTTGCTCTCTTGTTTTTGGACGTCATGATGGTCTTTAACTCATAAATGTGAGTTTTTTATCCTAATTATTGTGTATTCCCTCTGAGATATTTCTCAGGTGGACATGGTCATAATCCCAGCTACAACAGGACGAATGGGTGTTTTGCCAGGCCATGTTGCCGCTATCGCAGAGCTCAAGCCTGGGTTGCTTTCGGTTCATGGAGGAGGCAGCGACACAAGAAAATACTTTGTCAGCAGCGGGTTTGCGTTCATCCATGCAAATTCCTTTGCTGAACTTGTTGCTGTAGAGGCAGTTCCTATAGATCACATAGATCCAAACCTTGTACAGAAAGGTCTCGCCGACTTCACTCCGAAGCTTAGCTCAGCGGCGACAGACTTGGAAAAGGCTGAAGCACAGATCGGAGTGGATGTTCACAGTGCTCTTAATGCTGCGCTCTCTGGTTGATTTTTAGTTACCGTAGAGGTACAGTTTAGAATGAGAGAAGTCTCATTCCTGCCATCTTGTAAAACACTAGGTAGGGGAATATTGGGGAAAAAGAGGGCTATAAATAAATTCGGGGTTTTCTTTCCGGGGTAAAAAAAAAAAAAAAAACTTGTGTATGTTTTTATCCTGTGACTCCATGGTTCTTTTCTACATAATGCATTTGCATTAGCAGTTTGAGACTTTTGCCGAGTGAATTTATCAATTGTGTGTGTTTTGAGAAGCGTTCACAGCTGCGTGCCTGCTCATCTGGTGAGCATTCTCCATTTTCTATTATATGATCTTTATGATGTTGCTCTTACAGTCCAGGCGTAGAATAGGGAGCTGAATTGGTTATTCTTCGACCTTTCATGATTATAACGGAATTGCAACGTTAGGATGCGGTCAAAGTCTTATTCCACAGGAGGTTTTAATTTTGTTTAGTCAATGTAGTTTTAAGGACCTCAGAATGTAGGAGTTGGGATCATTTGCACTCTAATACCCCTACAGTTTCACCAATTTTTTTTAAAACTTTTTATCTTAATATCTTGACTTTCTACTTTGACAATTTGATACCCTGAAGGGTTTTAATTGCACTTCCCTCAAAGAAATGTTTTTAACATTCTGATATCCTGAAGCCCTAACTTTGTTCATCGCTTTCCCCAAACAAACTCGAAAACGTGAGATTTGGAAAATTATTTCCCATTAACTTTTAATAATGATGTCCCTCAACAAGATTTATTAGCGTCTTTTTTTTTTTAATATATCAATGTTGAGAAAGGGTTAAACTAGTTGGGTTCACCTCCATCCTTGGGTCACTTGCTCACAGGGATGTAGCCTCGTGCTTAATAAGATGGCGGAAATTCATGATTTATGCTCTCGACATTTGACGTCCTATGTTCATCTTAAATCACACGCAATCAACTAACAGAAATTTATCAAATTAATCTCTGCGTATAAAATACTAAAACAGGAGTGATTATAAACTAAAGTCTCAACTTTACATTTCTAAAACTCAAAACGGATGCTAAATTCGAATCAAATTATTTAACTCAAACTGAATATTTAATTCTAATTGAGTCATTATTTCTCCAATTCTAAATAGGACAAATTTTCAAAATAAACTCTATTAGAACTTGGCTAAAACTAGGTCGAAAATTATAAATAAATCTTGAAAACTTCACAGGATTTTGAATCCCGTAAAGTTTAGTCGCTAAATTACTCGACCTAATCACGATTAGGTTGGGCAATTAAGCACTAAACTTCACGGAATTTAGAATCCCATAAAGTTTTATTCACTATTTTCAACCCAATTTAAACCAATTGGCTAAAACCGAATCAAAAACGGCGAATAAATTGCAAATAGGTTGATTTTTACAAATAAAGTTCTAATAGGGTCTATTTAAAAAATTTATCCTTCTAAATATTCCAATGAGATGAAACTCCTATCTTTAATTCCCCGAAATTATGATGCCAGTGTCATATCCTAATGAAGAATATTCAGCAATCTTGAAAACCTCACTTACAGGAGGAAAGTCAACTAATTAATAAAGCGCATTTGCTGCTACTGACAAGTATCCAGCTTCAATTGTCTGAACAAAAATGAACAATAAATAAAAAAAACATAAATAACATTAACCATCTTCACCATCATCATAATCATAATTATTAACAATAATTGCATTCAACTTTTACAAATGAGAGCTTTTACATACATTTTACACAATATAACATTTGACCCTAAGCAACCTTTTCTAGTACAAGCTCAGCTTCAATTGTACGTACCTGGTTTATCTTTTATTTAGAATCACAGATGAGGCGATCGGTCAAAGAGCAAGTACTTAGTTACACTTGCGTTATATACAGAACACGCTAATCCTTTTTTATTTTCGTAGAGATAGAATAGGGGAGCCTTCTGCTTCTTGCGCATAATACTTCTTGCGCATAATATACACTTGCAAAGCTCAAAGTCTGGGTCGATAGTGATATAAACAGGCTCTCCAAAGATCAAGAAGCCCATTGAAATTGGATGTTTTAATTGTCATAATTTCGAGTGCTGTCTCAATGGGCATCCTCCTTCAAATGCTTGCTCCAATACATCTTCCATCCGCTTCGCAAACAAAATCTGATCACAAGGAATCATAAACTAGGTAACATGTTTATTTCCAAATTGTGTCGCTTTTCAACTGGCGAACAAAATCTGTTTTGTAAGACCTTGAGCCAATTTTCAACTGAAGAACTCAATGCACTGGAACTTTATGTAAAAACTTCAGTTGAAAACCTCAACATGTAAGACCTAAAAAACTTTTGTATTGGTGGACTTCTTCAACACACCCAACCAAAAAAAAAATCCCTCCTTTTACATGAGCGTCTTACATGTTGAAATTCTTGGGTGAAGGTTTTTACATGAAGGTGAAGTGAATTGAGTTCTTCAATTGAAAATGACCAGAGGCTTTAGTGAGAGAAAAATAGTATTTAAATATCCAATGAATAAGTTTTTCTGGCAAGGAAATGTTAGCTTTTTTCATTACCAAAGTAAGAAATGAACTACAGACCCTATATATGTAAACTCAAAAAAAGAGAGAACTATACATATACTGTCATCTAAAATTGCCTACAGTGATCATATCCACCACAAGCTGATAATCTCCAGAACTCCTAAGAACTCTGGTTGAATAAAATGGCAGATTATTCTACTAACAGGAGGTGGTGAGACAAATATAAAATTCAACCGGAGTTCTTTTTTTTTCTCAAAAAAAAAAGAACTCCGGTTGAATTTTATATTTGTCTCACCCCCTCCTGTTAGTAGAATAATCTGCCATTTTATCAATCCTACTTAACTGTGTCTTCAAGAAGCAAATGGCTTGTTGAACACATCTTTTTACATCAAGACAGACAGAAGAAGTATTTTAGAAGGGTACTTATGTTAAAAAAAACTAAATCTTTTATAAATTTAATAACAAAAATTTTGTTTAAAAACCAAGAAATCAATAACTTCTCTTTTTTTAGAGAAATAATAATTTCTCTTTGAAAATTTGAAATGAGTGAAAGTAAATACTTAAAAAATGATAGATTTGAATCCAATGAAATTTCCATTTGAATATCATTGGATAAAAGATTAATTGAGGGGAGACCCTTACTATTGCACAATTGTGGATAGGCCCCCCTGTAGTTCTTTCTTTTCTTTTCTTTTTTTATAGATAAATAAAAGGAAGGATGCAACCCCTGTAGTTCTATTGGTGCATATAGACCACATGTACTATTTGCCCAAATGAGAATAAACACCTGAATGAATATTTTTTTCTCTTAAAAGTGCCAAAGAATAAAAGAAAGTTCTCTCAGGAGTCTATCAGTACAAAAAAAAACTGCAGTGGTTCTATCCGTAGTTGAGCTATAGTACAGGGAATCTATCCGCAATTATCGCTTGAATAAAAGTTACCGCTACAATAAATCATACTCTTAACAAATCATGAAATTTTGTGAGAACTTTTTACTGGGTAATTAATAAAAAATCAATATTTCCTTTTCATTTTTTGCAATAAAAACACGAAGAGATACATATCATACGTTTGTTTTATGAGTCACTTCAGGTTTTTTAGACTACTATGAAGAAACCTAAAATCATTCAAATCATTTAAGAGTAGACATTTGTTTCTTGCACCATACCTTTAAATCAATCACAATTATTATTTTCCGTTGCACATGCATTTTGAATGTGCATGAGTGCTAGTGCGTTGTGGCGGGAGGGGCGGAGCGAGAGGGGTTGGGGGGGGTGGGGGGGGCAATAAGCAGCAAGTTTGGTAAATGGTCAAAGTTGCTTATAAGCACTTTTGTGACTTATAAACCAGTTTGCAATGTTTAGCAAGAAAAAAAACATAAGCTATGGTATCCTAGCTTATTTTTTGGTGGATTATAAGCCCTGACATTTTGCCAAGCAAAAGACAATTACACCCTTATGATATTACAAAATCCGAAGCCTCATTTAATAACAAACCCCATGTCCTTTTTGGTTATTTTGTTGACAATGATGATGGATTATAATCAACACATTTGTCAAAAACTCTACTATTGAAAATGGATTATAATCAACACATTTGCCAAAAACTCTACTAGTGAAAATGGATTATACTCCACTAAATTTACCAAACACTTGTAATCCACTGGGATTATAATCCAGTGGATTACAATCCAAAGTTCCCAAACATGCTGTAGGTATTCTTGGTACAAAGGACAAACTTGGTCCTTGCTAGAGGTGGTGCTTCTCATCCATACTTTTAAAATTACTCATAGGAAAATGGTTCTTGGTACCGAGGATACACGCATGCATACAATCTCATATATACACATATTAAAGCTGATATTCACGTATGTGGATAAAACATTTTTTTCCACCATTACTCATGTTATAATGCTAGATGGCGTTTATGGGGTATCTGGTTTGATGGATTAAAGTAGCGCCAACTCATGTCATCAAATTACAACCCATCAAGTCCATTCGAAGGTTAAAATGTTGGGCAAACAAAATCTTGTATCCACTTAAGTGGATAGTATCTCAAGATTCTCAACTCTCTCAATGTGTGTGTGTGTAAGATGTGTTTTGGCCAGGGACTCATGGCACCCAAATCCACCTGATATTGTAGTGTCATTATATGGATCAGTTTTATGCAGTGCAGTCATACTGGTTATATCTGTGTACACTGTGTACTAGATCATTATAAATGCAAAATTCCTTAACAGTTAGATAAAATTGTTAAGTAAATAGGATAAACATAAATTAGATTCACAAGAATGGTTACTGTATCTAAAAACATATAATGATCACTATTCCCATCGATTTCAGTAAAATAAACATCTTAGCCTATAAATTTACAAACATGTGAATACCAATGAATATGTGACTGCATTCAAGACATCTGTTAAAAAAAATTCTTTTTTTGCTTTTTGTTTTTTTGTGGTTTGTTTTTTCTTTTTTCTTTTTCTTTGTCCTTTTTTTTTGGTGGGCGGGGGAGTGGTGGTATTGATGGTTGTATTGCACCTGATACATTTAAAGTGCAGAAATTTATGACGTAAAGGTGTACATTATGTGAAAAAGAGCATCCAACATAACAACGGTATTAGTATCCAACACACATTATAGATAGAACACCAATATAAACAATTGAAAATGTGCAATCCAGGAAAGCTTGTCTAAGTAACAAAAGTTGAGGCATAGAATAACAATCATTTAAGCATTCAAAAATTATTATGCTTTGTTTCCAAATACTCTCTCCATCTCATAGAAAGATATATTTCCATATGCAAATGACAACTCAAAAGAAATTGATTTACCTCCATTCCAGCAAGAATAGCTGATGGTACTTCAACCAAGTCCTTTAAGTTTCTTTCTGGTAAAATTACTCTTTTTATGCCAGAACGATGAGCTGCAAGAACCTGAAATTACAGAAGTGACGATTAGATAACACATCTGGAATTTGAACACCAGAAGAAAAAAAATCAACAAAGAAGCAGTACTTATTGACATAAGAATAAAGGTAAGTTTCACAAAATCCCCTGAAGTTTGGACTTTCAAAATTTCTTTTGGACTTTCAAAATTTCTTTTGGACTTTCAAAATTATGTTGCACAGTCAGAAATACTGAAAATTCTCTAGAATTGTCCTAAACGATGTACAAGGTAGAGTATAAAGTATAATCCACCCTTTTACTTTTGACTGGACCCTACCCAAAAAAAGACAAGCAGATGGGTTTTCTTTGTCAAAAACCCGCGGAGTTCCGTTTTCTATGTGGGGTGTGTGTGTGTGTGTGTGTTGGTTTGTGGTGGTGGTGGTAGCGT